GTCCACGTCCATGTCCACGTCCATGTCCACGTCCACGTCCACGTCCACGTCCACGTCCACGTCCATGTCCACGTCCACGTCCACGTCCACGTCCATGTCCACGTCCACGTCCACGTCCACGTCCACGTCCACGCCATGTCCACGTCCACGTCAAGTCCACGTCCACGTCCACGTCCACGTCCACGTCCACGTCCATGTCCACGTCCACGTCCACGTCCATTTCCACGTCCACGTCCACGTCCACGTCCACGTCACGTCCACGTCCATGTCCACGTCCACGTCCATGTCCACGTCCACGTCCACGTCCACGTCACACTCCACGTCCATGTCCACGTCCACGTCCACGTCCATGTCCACGTCCACGTCCACGTCCACGTCCACGTCCACGTCCACGTCCACGTCCACGTCCACGTCCACGTCCACGTCCACGTCCACGTCCACGTCCACGTCCACGTCCATGTCCACGTCCATGTCCACGTCCACGTCCTAGTCCACGTCCATGTCCACGTCCATGTCCACGTCCACGTCCACGTCCACGTCCAAGTCCACGTCCATCCACGTCCACGTCCACGTCCATGTCCACGTCCATGTCCACGTCCACGTCCACGTCCATGTCCACGTCCACGTCCACGTCCACGTCCACGTCCACGTCCAGGTCCACGTCACGTCCACGTCCATGTCCACGTCCACGTCCACGTCCACGTCACGTCCACGTCCACGTCCACGTCCACGTCCAAGTCCACGTCCATGTCCACGTCCATGTCCACGTCCACGTCCATGTCCACGTCCACGTCCACGTCCACGTCCACGTCCATGTCCACGTCCACGTCCACGTCCACGTCCATGTCCACGTCCACGTCCACGTCCACGTCCATGTCCACGTCCACGTCCACGTCCACGTCCACGTCCACGTCCACGTCCATGTCCACGTCCATGTCCATGTCCACGTCCACGTCCACGTCCATGTCCACGTCCATGTCCACGTCCATGTCCACGTCCACGTCCATGTCCACGTCCATGTCCACGTCCACGTCCACGTCCACGTCCATGTCCACGTCCACGTCCAAGTCCACGTCCACGTCCACGTCCACGTCCACGTCCATGTCCACGTCCACGTCCATGTCCATTTGTACGTCCACGTCCATGTCCACGTCCACGTCCATGTCCACGTCCACGTCCACGTCCATGTCCACGTCCACGTCCACGTCCACGTCCACGTCCATGTCCACGTCCACGTCCACCTCCACGTCCACGTCCACGTCCACGTCCATGTCCACGTCCACGTCCACGTCCACGTCCACGTCCACGTCCACGTCCACGTCCATGTCCACGTCCACGTCCACGTCCACGTCCACGTCCACGTCCACGTCCACGTCCATGTCCACGTCCATGTCCACGTCCACGTCCACGTCCATGTCCACGTCCACGTCCACGTCCATGTCCACGTCCACGTCACGTCCCCCACGTCCACGTCCACGTCCACGTCCACGTCCACGTCCATGTCCACGTCCATGTCCACGTCCACGTCCACGTCCACGTCCATGTCCACGTCCACGTCCATGTCCACGTCCATGTCCACGTCCACGTCACGTCCATGTCCACGTCCACGTCCACGTCCATGTCCACGTCCACGTCCACGTCCACGTCCACGTCCACGTCCATCCACGTCCACGTCCACGTCCATGTCCACGTCCATGTCCACGTCCACGTCCACGTCCACGTCCACGTCCACGTCCACGTCCACGTCCACGTCCATGTCCACGTCCACGTCCATTTCCACGTCCACGTCCACGTCCACGTCCACGTCCACGTCCATGTCCACGTCCACGTCCACGTCCACGTCCACGTCCACGTCCACGTCCACGTCCACGTCCATGTCCACGTCCACGTCCATGTCCACGTCCACGTCCACGTCCACGTCCACGTCCACGTCCACGTCCACGTCCACGTCCACGTCCACGTCCACGTCCACGTCCACGTCCACGTCCACGTCCACGTCCACGTCCACGTCCACGTCCACGTCCACGTCCATGTCCACGTCCACGTCCACGTCCACGTCCACGTCCACGTCCACGTCCACGTCCACGTCCATGTCCACGTCCACGTCCACGTCCACGTCCACGTCCACGTCCACGTCACGTCCACGTCCACGTCCATGTCCACGTCCACGTCCACTCCACGTCCATGTCCACGTCCACGTCCACGTCCACGTCCACGTCCACGTCCACGTCCACGTCCAGTCCACGTCCACGTCCACGTCCACGTCCACGTCCACGTCCACGTCCACGTCCACGTCCACGTCCACGTCCATGTCCACGTCCACGTTCCACGTCCACGTCCACGTCCATGTCCACGTCCACGTCCACGTCCATGTCCACGTCCACGTCCATGTCCACGTCCATGTCCACGTCCACGTCCACGTCCACGTCCACGTCCACGTCCACGTCCACGTCCACGTCCACGTCCACGTCCACGTCCATGTCCACGTCCACGTCCACGTCCATGTCCACGTCCACGTCCACGTCCATGTCCACGTCCACGTCCACGTCCACGTCCATGTCCACGTCCACGTCCACGTCCACGTCCACGTCCACGTCCACGTCCACGTCCACGTCCACGTCCATGTCCACGTCCACGTCCAAGTCCACGTCCACGTCCACGTCCACGTCCACGTCCACGTCCACGTCCACGTCCATGTCCACGTCCACGTCCACGTCCACGTCCATGTCCACGTCCACGTCCATGTCCACGTCCACGTCCACGTCCACGTCCATGTCCACGTCCACGTCCACGTCCACGTCCATTTCCACGTCCACGTCCACGTCCACGTCCAGTCCACGTCCATGTCCACGTCCACGTCCACGTCCATTCCACGTCCACGTCCACGTCCACGTCCATGTCCACGTCCATGTCCACGTACGTCCCGTCCACGTCCCACGTCCACGTCCACGTCCATTTCCACGTCCACGTCCACGTCCACGTCCACGTCCACGTCCACGTCCACGTCCTGTCCACGTCCACGTCCACGTCCATGTCCACGTCCACGTCCAGTCCACGTCCACGTCCACGTCCATGTCCACGTCCACGTCCACGTCCACGTCCATGTCCACGTCCATGTCCACGTCCACGTCCAAGTCCACGTCCATGTCCACGTCCACGTCCACGTCCACGTCCATGTCCACGTCCACGTCCACGTCCATTCCACGTCCACGTCCACGTCCACGTCCACGTCCACGTCCATGTCCACGTCCACGTCCATGTCCACGTCCACGTCCACGTCCACGTCCACGTCCACGTCCATGTCCACGTCCACGTCCACGTCCATAACCACGTCCACGTCCACGTCCACGTCCATGTCCACGTCCACGTCCACGTCCACGTCCACGTCCATGTCCACGTCCACGTCCACGTCCACGTCCACGTCCACGTCCATTTCCACGTCCACGTCCACGTCCATGTCCACGTCCACGTCCACGTCCATTTCTACGTCCACGTCCACGTCCACGTCCACGTCCATGTCCACGTCCACGTCCACGTCCACGTCCACGTCCACGTCCATGTCCACGTCCATGTCCACGTCCACGTCCACGTCCACATCCACATCCACGTCCACGTCCACGTCCATGTCCAGGTCCACGTCCACGTCCACGTCCACGTCCACGTCCACGTCCACGTGATGTCCACGTCCATGTCCACGTCCACGTCCACGTCCATGTCCACGTCCACGTCCACGTCCATGCTCGTCCACGTCCAAGTCCACGTCCACGTCCACGTCCACGTCCATGTCCACGTCCATGTCCACGTCCACGTCCACGTCCACGTCCACGTCCATGTCCACGTCCACGTCAATGTCCACGTCCACGTCCATGTCCACGTCCATGTCCACGTCCATGTCCACGTCCACGTCCACGTCCATGTCCACGTCCACGTCCATGTCCACGTCCACGTCTACGTCCACGTCCATGTCCACGTCCACGTCCACGTCCACGTCCATGTCCACGTCCATGTCCACGTCCACGTCCAAGTCCACGTCCATGTCCACGTCCACGTCACGTCCACGTCCATGTCCACGTCCACGTCCACGTCCATTTCTACGTCCACGTCCACGTCCACGTCCACGTCCACGTCCACGTCCATGTCCACGTCCACGTCCATGTCCACGTCCACGTCCACGTCCACGTCCACGTCCACGTCCATGTCCACGTCCACGTCCACGTCCATGTCCACGTCCACGTCCACGTCCACGTCCACGTCCACGTCCACGTCCACGTCCACGTCCACGTCCACGTCCACGTCCACGTCCACGTCCACGTCCACGTCCACGTCCACGTCCATGTCCACGTCCATGTCCATGTCCACGTCCAAGTCCACGTCCATGTCCACGTCCATGTCCACGTCCATGTCCATGTCCACGTCCACGTCCACGTCCATGTCCACGTCCACGTCCACGTCCATGTCCACGTCCATGTCCACGTCCACGTCCACGTCCATGTCCACGTCCACGTCCACGTCCACGTCCACGTCCACGTCCACGTCCACGTCCACGTCCACGTCCATGTCCACGTCCACGTCCACGTCCACGTCTCGTCCACGTCCAGTCCACGTCCACGTCCAAGTCCACGTCCATGTCCACGTCCATGTCCACGTCCACGTCCATGTCCACGTCCACGTCCATGTCCACGTCCACGTCCATGTCCACGTCCATGTCCACGTCCACGTCCATGTCCACGTCCACGTCCACGTCCACGTCCACGTCCATGTCCATGTCCATGTCCACGTCCACGTCCACGTCCACGTCCACGTCCATGTTCACGTCCATGTCCATGTCCACGTCCACGTCCACGTCCATGTCCACGTCCATGTCCACGTCCATGTCCACGTCCACGTCCATGTCCACGTCCATGTCCACGTCCACGTCCAAGTCCACGTCCATGTCCACGTCCACGTCTACGTCCACGTCCACGTCCACGTCTACGTCCACGTCCATGTCCACGTCCACGTCCATGTCCATTTGTACGTCCACGTCCATGTCCACGTCCACGTCCATGTCCACGTCCACGTCCACGTCCATGTGCACGTCCACGTCCACGTCCATTTCTACGTCCTTGTCCATGTCCACGTCCACCTCCACGTCCACGTCCACGTCCACGTCCATTTCCACGTCCACGTCCACGTCCATATCCACGTCCACGTCCACGTCCACGTCCATGTCCAGGTCCACGTCCACGTCCACGTCCACGTCCACGTCTACGTCCACGTCCATGTCCACGTCCATGTCCACGTCCACGTCCACGTCCATGTCCACGTCCACGTCCACGTCCACGTCCACGTCCACGTCTCGTCCACGTCCAAGTCCACGTCCACGTCCAAGTCCACGTCCATGTCCACGTCCATGTCCACGTCCACGTCCACGTCCACGTCCACGTCCATGTCCACGTCCACGTCCATGTCCACGTCCATGTCCACGTCCATGTCCACGTCCATGTCCACGTCCACGTCCACGTCCATGTCCACGTCCACGTCCACGTCCACGTCCACGTCCACGTCCATGTCCACGTCCACGTCCACGTCCATGTCCACGTCCATGTCCACGTCCACGTCCACGTCCACGTCCATGTCCACGTCCACGTCCACGTCCACGTCCATGTCCACGTCCACGTCCATTTCCACGTCCACGTCCACGTCCACGTCCACGTCCACGTCCATGTCCACGTCCACGTCCATGTCCACGTCCACGTCCACGTCCACGTCCACGTCCACGTCCATGTCCACGTCCACGTCCATGTCCATGTCCACGTCCACGTCCACGTCCACGTCCACGTCCACGTCCACGTCCACGTCCACGTCCACGTCCACGTCCACGTCCACGTCCACGTCCACGTCCACGTCCACGTCCACGTCCACGTCCACGTCCACGTCCATGTCCACGTCCACGTCCACGTCCACGTCCACGTCCACGTCCACGTCCACGTCCACGTCCATGTCCACGTCCACGTCCACGTCCACGTCCACGTCCACGTCCACGTCCACGTCCACGTCCACGTCCATGTCCACGTCCACGTCCACGTCCATCTCCACGTCCATGTCCACGTCCACGTCCACGTCCACGTCCACGTCCACGTCCACGTCCACGTCCACGTCCACGTCCACGTCCACGTCCACGTCCACGTCCACGTCCACGTCCACGTCCACGTCCATGTCCACGTCCACGTCCATGTCCACGTCCACGTCCATGTCCACGTCCACGTCCATGTCCACGTCCACGTCCACGTCCACGTCCACGTCCAAGTCCACGTCCATGTCCACGTCCACGTCCACGTCCACGTCCACGTCCACGTCCACGTCCATGTCCACGTCCACGTCCATGTCCACGTCCACGTCCACGTCCATGTCCACGTCCACGTCCACGTCCATGTCCACGTCCACGTCCACGTCCACGTCCATGTCCACGTCCACGTCCACGTCCACGTCCACGTCCACGTCCACGTCCACGTCCATGTCCACGTCCATGTCCACGTCCACGTCCAAGTCCACGTCCATGTCCACGTCCACGTCTACGTCCACGTCCACGTCCACGTCCACGTCCATGTCCACGTCCACGTCCACGTCCACGTCCATGTCCACGTCCACGTCCATGTCCACGTCCACGTCCACGTCCATGTCCATGTCCACGTCCACGTCCACGTCCACGTCCACGTCCATGTCCATGTCCACGTCCACGTCCACGTCCACGTCCACGTCCACGTCCACGTCCACGTCCACGTCCACGTCCACGTCCACGTCCACGTCCACGTCCACGTCCACGTCCACGTCCACGTCCACGTCGACGTCCATGTCCACGTCCATGTCCACGTCCAGGTCCAAGTCCACGTCCATGTCCACGTCCATGTCCACGTCCATGTCCATGTCCAGGTCCAAGTCCACGTCCATGTCCACGTCCACGTCCACGTCCATGTCCACGTCCATGTCCACGTCCACGTCCACGTCCACGTCCATGTCCACGTCCACGTCCACGTCCACGTCCACGTCCACGTCCACGTCCACGTCCACGTCCACGTCCATGTCCACGTCCACGTCCACGTCCACGTCACGTCCACGTCCACGTCCACGTCCACGTCCACGTCCACGTCCATGTCCACGTCCATGTCCACGTCCACGTCCATGTCCACGTCCACGTCCATGTCCACGTCCACGTCCATGTCCACGTCCATGTCCACGTCCACGTCCATGTCCACGTCCACGTCCACGTCCACGTCCATGTCCACGTCCATGTCCACGTCCACGTCCACGTCCACGTCCACGTCCACGTCCACGTCCATGTCCACGTCCATGTCCATGTCCACGTCCACGTCCACGTCCATGTCCACGTCCATGTCCACGTCCATGTCCACGTCCACGTCCATGTCCACGTCCATGTCCACGTCCACGTCCACGTCCACGTCCATGTCCACGTCCACGTCCACGTCCACGTCCACGTCCACGTCCACGTCCACGTCCATGTCCACGTCCACGTCCATGTCCATTTGTACGTCCACGTCCATGTCCACGTCCACGTCCACGTCCATGTCCACGTCCATGTCCACGTCCACGTCCATGTCCACGTCCACGTCCACGTCCATGTCCACGTCCACGTCCAGGCCCACGTCCATGTCCACGTCCATGTCCACGTCCACGTCCACGTCCATGTCCAGTCCACGTCCACGTCCACGTCCACGTCCACGTCCAGGTCCACGTCCACGTCCACGTCCATGTCCACGTCCACGTCCACGTCCACGTCTCGTCCACGTCCAAGTCCACGTCCACGTCCAAGTCCACGTCCATGTCCACGTCCACGTCCACGTCCACGTCCATGTCCACGTCCACGTCCATGTCCACGTCCACGTCCATGTCCACGTCCATGTCCACGTCCACGTCCATGTCCACGTCCACGTCCACGTCCACGTCCACGTCCATGTCCACGTCCATGTCCACGTCCACGTCCACGTCCACGTCCACGTCCATGTCCACGTCCATGTCCATGTCCACGTCCACGTCCACGTCCACGTCCATGTCCACGTCCATGTCCACGTCCATGTCCACGTCCACGTCCATGTCCACGTCCATGTCCACGTCCACGTCCAAGTCCACGTCCATGTCCACGTCCACGTCTAAGTCCACGTCCACGTCCACGTCTACGTCCACGTCCATGTCCACGTCCACGTCCATGTCCATTTGTACGTCCACGTCCATGTCCACGTCCACGTCCATGTCCACGTCCACGTCCACGTCCATGTGCACGTCCACGTCCACGTCCATTTCTACGTCCTTGTCCATGTCCACGTCCACCTCCACGTCCACGTCCACGTCCACGTCCATTTCCAGGTCCACGTCCACGTCCATATCCACGTCCACGTCCACGTCCACGTCCATGTCCAGGTCCACGTCCACGTCCACGTCCACGTCCACGTCTACGTCCACGTCCATGTCCACGTCCATGTCCACGTCCACGTCCACGTCCATGTCCACGTCCACGTCCACGTCCATGTCCACGTCCACGTCTCGTCCACGTCCAAGTCCACGTCCACGTCCAAGTCCACGTCCATGTCCACGTCCATGTCCACGTCCACGTCCACGTCCACGTCCACGTCCATGTCCACGTCCACGTCCATGTCCACGTCCATGTCCACGTCCATGTCCACGTCCATGTCCACGTCCACGTCCACGTCCATGTCCACGTCCACGTCCACGTCCACGTCCACGTCCACGTCCATGTCCACGTCCACGTCCACGTCCATGTCCACGTCCATGTCCACGTCCACGTCCAAGTCCACGTCCATGTCCACGTCCACGTCACGTCCACGTCCATGTCCACGTCCACGTCCATTTCTACGTCCACGTCCACGTCCACGTCCACGTCCACGTCCACGTCCATGTCCACGTCCACGTCCATGTCACGTCCACGTCCACGTCGACGTCCACCTCCACGTCCATGTCCACGTCCACGTCCATGTCCATGTCCACGTCCACGTCCACGTCCACGTCCACTTCCACGTCCACGTTTACGTCCACGTCCACGTCCACGTCTACGTCCACGTCCACGTCCACGTCCACGTCCACGTCCACGTCCACGTCCACGTCCACGTCCATGTCCACGTCCACGTCCACGTCCAGGTCCACGTCCACGTCCACGTCCACGTCCATGTCTACGTCCACGTCCACGTCCACGTCCACGTCCACGTCCAGGTCCACGTCCACGTCCATGTCCACGTCCACGTCCACGTCCATGTCCACGTCCATGTCCACGTCCACGTCCACGTCCACGTCCACGTCCACGTCCACGTCCACGTCCACGTCCACGTGCACGTCCACGTCCACGTCCACGTCCACGTCCACGTCCATGTCCACGTCCACGTCCATGTCCACGTCCACGTCCATGTCCACGTCCACGTCCATGTCCACGTCCACGTCCACGTCCACGTCCACGTCCAAGTCCACGTCCATGTCCACGTCCACGTCCACGTCCACGTCCACGTCCACGTCCACGTCCACGTCCACGTCCACGTCCACGTCCACGTCCATGTCCACGTCCACGTCCACGTCCATGTCCACGTCCACGTCCACGTCCATGTCCACGTCCACGTCCACGTCCACGTCCATGTCCACGTCCACGTCCACGTCCACGTCCACGTCCACGTCCACGTCGACGTCCATGTCCACGTCCATGTCCACGTCCAGGTCCAAGTCCACGTCCATGTCCACGTCCACGTCTACGTCCACGTCCACGTCCACGTCCATGTCCACGTCCACGTCCACGTCCACCTCCATGTCCATGTCCACGTCCATGTCCACGTCCACGTCCACGTCCATGTCCATGTCCACGTCCACGTCCACGTCCACGTCCATTTCTACGTCCACGTCCACGTCCACGTCTACGTCCACGTCCATGTCCACGTCCACGTCCACGTCCATTTCTACGTCCACGTCCACGTCCACGTCCATGTCCACGTCCATGTCCACGTCCACGTCCACGTCCACGTCCATTTCCACGTCCACGTCCACGTCCACGTCCATGTCCACGTCCATGTCCACGTCCATGTCCACGTCCACGTCCACGTCCATGTCCACGTCCACGTCCATGTCCACGTCCACGTCCACGTCCATGTCCACGTCCACGTCCACGTCCACGTCCATGTCCACGTCCATGTCCACGTCCACGTCCAAGTCCACGTCCATGTCCACGTCCACGTCCACGTCCACGTCCATGTCCACGTCCACGTCCACGTCCATTTCCACGTCCACGTCCACGTCCACGTCCACGTCCACGTCCATGTCCACGTCCACGTCCATGTCCACGTCCACGTCCACGTCCACGTCCACGTCCACGTCCATAACTACGTCCACGTCCACGTCCATGTCTACGTCCACGTCCACGTCCACGTCCATGTCCACGTCCACGTCCACGTCCACGTCCACGTCCATGTCCACGTCCACGTCCACGTCCACGTCCACGTCCACGTCCATTTCACGTCCACGTCCACGTCCATGTCCACGTCCACGTCCACGTCCATTTCCACGTCCACGTCCACGTCCACGTCCACGTCCATGTCCACGTCCACGTCCACGTCCACGTCCATGTCCACGTCCATGTCCACGTCCATGTCCACGTCCACGTCCACGTCCACGTCCACGTCCACGTCCACGTCCACGTCCACGTCCATGTCCAGGTCCACGTCCACGTCCACGTCCACGTCCACGTCCACGTCCACGTCCATGTCCACGTCCATGTCCACGTCCACGTCCACGTCCATGTCCACGTCCACGTCCACGTCCATGTCCACGTCCATGCTCGTCCACGTCCAAGTCCACGTCCACGTCCAAGTCCACGTCCATGTCCACGTCCATGTCCACGTCCACGTCCACGTCCACGTCCACGTCCATGTCCACGTCCACGTCCATGTCCACGTCCACGTCCATGTCCACGTCCATGTCCACGTCCATGTCCACGTCCACGTCCACGTCCATGTCCACGTCCACGTCCATGTCCACGTCCACGTCCACGTCCACGTCCATGTCCACGTCCACGTCCACGTCCACGTCCATGTCCACGTCCATGTCCACGTCCACGTCCAAGTCCACGTCCATGTCCACGTCCACGTCCACGTCCACGTCCATGTCCACGTCCACGTCCACGTCCATGTCCACGTCCACGTCCACGTCCACGTCCACGTCCACGTCCACGTCCATGTCCACGTCCACGTCCATGTCCACGTCCACGTCCACGTCCACGTCCACCTCCACGTCCATGTCCACGTCCACGTCCACGTCCATGTCCACGTCCACGTCCACGTCCACGTCCACGTCCACGTCCACGTCCACGTCCACGTCCACGTCCACGTCCACGTCCACGTCCACGTCCACGTCCACGTCCACGTCCATGTCCACGTCCATGTCCACGTCCACGTCCAAGTCCACGTCCATGTCCACGTCCATGTCCACGTCCATGTCCATGTCCACGTCCAAGTCCACGTCCATGTCCACGTCCACGTCCACGTCCATGTCCACGTCCATGTCCACGTCCACGTCCACGTCCATGTCCACGTCCACGTCCACGTCCACGTCCACGTCCACGTCCACGTCCACGTCCACGTCCACGTCCATGTCCACGTCCACGTCCACGTCCACGTCACGTCCACGTCCAAGTCCACGTCCACGTCCAAGTCCACGTCCATGTCCACGTCCATGTCCACGTCCACGTCCATGTCCACGTCCACGTCCATGTCCACGTCCACGTCCATGTCCACGTCCATGTCCACGTCCACGTCCATGTCCACGTCCACGTCCACGTCCACGTCCACGTCCACGTCCATGTCCACGTCCACGTCCACGTCCACGTCCACGTCCACGTCCACGTCCATGTCCACGTCCATGTCCACGTCCACGTCCACGTCCACGTCCATGTCCACGTCCATGTCCACGTCCATGTCCACGTCCACGTCCATGTCCACGTCCATGTCCACGTCCACGTCCAAGTCCACGTCCATGTCCACGTCCACGTCAGTCCACGTCCACGTCCACGTCCACGTCCACGTCCATGTCCACGTCCACGTCCATGTCCATTTCCACGTCCACGTCCATGTCCACGTCCACGTCCATGTCCACGTCCACGTCCACGTCCATGTCCACGTCCACGTCCACGTCCATTTCTACGTCCACGTCCATGTCCACGTCCACGTCCACGTCCACGTCCACGTCCACGTCCATTTCCACGTCCACGTCCACGTCCATATCCACGTCCACGTCCACGTCCACGTCCATGTCCAGGTCCACGTCCACGTCCACGTCCACGTCCACGTCCACGTCCACGTCCATGTCCACGTCCATGTCCACGTCCACGTCCACGTCCATGTCCACGTCCACGTCCACGTCCATGTCCACGTCCACGTCAACGTCGACGTCCACGTCCAAGTCCACGTCCACGTCCAAGTCCACGTCCATGTCCACGTCCATGTCCACGTCCACGTCCACGTCCACGTCCACGTCCATGTCCACGTCCACGTCCATGTCCACGTCCATGTCCACGTCCATGTCCACGTCCATGTCCACGTCCACGTCCACGTCCATGTCCACGTCCACGTCCACGTCCACGTCCACGTCCACGTCCATGTCCACGTCCACGTCCACGTCCATGTCCACGTCCATGTCCACGTCCACGTCCAAGTCCACGTCCATGTCCACGTCCACGTCCACGTCCACGTCCATGTCCACGTCCACGTCCATTCCACGTCCACGTCCACGTCCACGTCCACGTCCACGTCCATGTCCACGTCCACGTCCATGTCCACGTCCACGTCCACGTCCACGTCCACGTCCACGTCCATGTCCACGTCCACGTCCATGTCCATGTCCACGTCCACGTCCACGTCCACGTCCACGTCCACGTCCACGTCCACGTCCACGTCCACGTCCACGTCCACGTCCACGTCCACGTCCACGTCCACGTCCACGTCCACGTCCACGTCCACGTCCACGTCCATGTCCACGTCCACGTCCACGTCCACGTCCACGTCCACGTCCACGTCCACGTCCACGTCCATGTCCACGTCCACGTCCACGTCCACGTCCACGTCCACGTCCACGTCCACGTCCACGTCCACGTCCATGTCCACGTCCACGTCCACGTCCATCTCCACGTCCATGTCCACGTCCACGTCCACGTCCACGTCCACGTCCACGTCTACGTCCACGTCCACGTCCACGTCCACGTCCACGTCCACGTCCACGTCCACGTCCACGTCCACGTCCATGTCCACGTCCACGTCCATGTCCACGTCCACGTCCATGTCCACGTCCACGTCCATGTCCACGTCCACGTCCATGTCCATGTCCACGTCCACGTCCATCTCCACGTCCATGTCCACGTCCACGTCCACGTCCACGTCCACGTCCACGTCCACGTCCACGTCCACGTCCACGTCCACGTCCATGTCCACGTCCACGTCCACGTCCATGTCCACGTCCACGTCCACGTCCATGTCCACGTCCACGTCCACGTCCACGTCCATGTCCACGTCCACGTCCACGTCCACGTCCACGTCCACGTCCACGTCCACGTCCATGTCCACGTCCATGTCCACGTCCACGTCCAAGTCCACGTCCATGTCCACGTCCACGTCTACGTCCACGTCCACGTCCACGTCCATGTCCACGTCCACGTCCACGTCCACGTCCATGTCCATGTCCACGTCCATGTCCACGTCCACGTCCACGTCCACGTCCATGTCCATGTCCACGTCCACGTCCACGTCCACGTCCATTTCTACGTCCACGTCCACGTCCACGTCCACGTCCACGTCCATGTCCACGTCCACGTCCACGTCCATTTCCACGTCCACGTCCACGTCCACGTCCATGTCCACGTCCATGTCCACGTCCACGTCCACGTCCACGTCCATTTCCACGTCCACGTCCACGTCCACGTCCATGTCCACGTCCATGTCCACGTCATGTCCACGTCCACGTCCACGTCCATGTCCACGTCCACGTCCATGTCCACGTCCACGTCCACGTCCATGTCCACGTCCACGTCCACGTCTACGTCCATGTCCACGTCCATGTCCACGTCCACGTCCAAGTCCACGTCCATGTCCACGTCCACGTCTACGTCCACGTCCATGTCCACGTCCACGTCCACGTCCATTTCTACGTCCACGTCCACGTCCACGTCCACGTCCACGTCCATGTCCACGTCCACGTCCATGTCCACGTCCACGTCCACGTCCACGTCCACCTCCACGTCCACGACCACGTCCACGTCCACGTCCAACTCCACCTCCACGTCCACGTCCACGTCCACGTCCATGTCCACGTCCACGTCCACGTCCACGTCCACGTCCATGTCCACGTCCACGTCCACGTCCACGTCCACGTCCACGTCCATGTCCACGTCCACGTCCACGTCCATGTCCACGTCCACGTCCACGTCCATTTCCACGTCCACGTCCACGTCCACGTCCACGTCCATGTCCACGTCCACGTCCACGTCCACGTCCATGTCCACGTCCATGTCCACGTCCATGTCCACGTCCACGTCCACGTCCACGTCCACGTCCACGTCCACGTCCACGTCCATGTCCAGGTCCACGTCCACGTCCACGTCCACGTCCACGTCCACGTCCACGTCCATGTCCACGTCCATGTCCACGTCCACGTCCACGTCCATGTCCACGTCCACGTCCACGTCCATGTCCACGTCCATGCTCGTCCACGTCCAAGTCCACGTCCACGTCCAAGTCCACGTCCATGTCCACGTCCATGTCCACGTCCACGTCCACGTCCACGTCCACGTCCATGTCCACGTCCACGTCAATGTCCACGTCCACGTCCATGTCCACGTCCATGTCCACGTCCATGTCCACGTCCACGTCCACGTCCATGTCCACGTCCACGTCCATGTCCACGTCCACGTCTACGTCCACGTCCATGTCCACGTCCACGTCCACGTCTACGTCCATGTCCACGTCCATGTCCACGTCCACGTCCAAGTCCACGTCCATGTCCACGTCCACGTCTACGTCCACGTCCATGTCCACGTCCACGTCCACGTCCATTTCTACGTCCACGTCCACGTCCACGTCCACGTCCACGTCCACGTCCATGTCCACGTCCACGTCCATGTCCACGTCCACGTCCACGTCCACGTCCACCTCCACGTCCATGTCCACGTCCACGTCCACGTCCATGTCCACGTCCACGTCCACGTCCACGTCCACGTCCACGTCCACGTCCACGTCCACATCCACGTCTACGTCCACGTCCACGTCCACGTCCACGTCCACGTCCACGTCGACGTCCATGTCCACGTCCATGTCCACGTCCAGGTCCAAGTCCACGTCCATGTCCACGTCCATGTCCACGTCCATGTCCATGTCCAGGTCCAAGCCCACGTCCATGTCCACGTCCACGTCCACGTCCATGTCCACGTCCATGTCCACGTCCACGTCCACGTCCATGTCCACGTCCACGTCCACGTCCACGTCCACGTCCACGTCCAGGTCCACGTCCACGTCCACGTCCATGTCCACGTCCACGTCCACGTCCACGTCTCGTCCACGTCCAAGTCCACGTCCACGTCCAAGTCCACGTCCATGTCCACGTCCATGTCCACGTCCACGTCCATGTCCACGTCCACGTCCATGTCCACGTCCACGTCCATGTCCACGTCCATGTCCACGTCCACGTCCATGTCCACGTCCACGTCCACGTCCACGTCCACGTCCATGTCCACGTCCATGTCCACGTCCACGTCCACGTCCACGTCCACGTCCATGTCCACGTCCATGTCCATGTCCACGTCCACGTCCACGTCCACGTCCATGTCCACGTCCATGTCCACGTCCATGTCCACGTCCACGTCCATGTCCACGTCCATGTCCACGTCCACGTCCAAGTCCACGTCCATGTCCACGTCCACGTCTAAGTCCACGTCCACGTCCACGTCTACGTCCACGTCCATGTCCACGTCCACGTCCATGTCCATTTGTACGTCCACGTCCATGTCCACGTCCACGTCCATGTCCACGTCCACGTCCACGTCCATGTGCACGTCCACGTCCACGTCCATTTCTACGTCCTTGTCCATGTCCACGTCCACCTCCACGTCCACGTCCACGTCCACGTCCATTTCCAGGTCCACGTCCACGTCCATATCCACGTCCACGTCCACGTCCACGTCCATGTCCAGGTCCACGTCCACGTCCACGTCCACGTCCACGTCTACGTCCACGTCCATGTCCACGTCCATGTCCACGTCCACGTCCACGTCCATATCCACGTCCACGTCCACGTCCATGTCCACGTCCACGTCTCGTCCACGTCCAAGTCCACGTCCACGTCCAAGTCCACGTCCATGTCCACGTCCATGTCCACGTCCACGTCCACGTCCACGTCCACGTCCATGTCCACGTCCACGTCCATGTCCACGTCCATGTCCACGTCCATGTCCACGTCCATGTCCACGTCCACGTCCACGTCCATGTCCACGTCCACGTCCACGTCCACGTCCACGTCCACGTCCATGTCCACGTCCACGTCTACGTCCATGTCCACGTCCATGTCCACGTCCACGTCCAAGTCCACGTCCATGTCCACGTCCACGTCTACGTCCACGTCCATGTCCACGTCCACGTCCATTTCTACGTCCACGTCCACGTCCACGTCCACGTCCACGTCCATGTCCACGTCCACGTCCATGTCCACGTCCACGTCCACGTCGACGTCCACCTCCACGTCCATGTCCACGTCCACGTCCACGTCCATGTCCACGTCCACGTCCACGTCCACGTCCACGTCCACGTCCACGTCTACGTCCACGTCCACGTCCACGTCCACGTCCACGTCCACGTCCACGTCCACGTCCACGTCCACGTCCACGTCCACGTCCACGTCCATGTCCACGTCCACGTCCACGTCCACGTCCAGGTCCACGTCCACGTCCACGTCCACGTCCATGTCCACGTCCACGTCCACGTCCACGTCCACGTCCACGTCCACGTCCAGGTCCACGTCCACGTCCATGTCCACGTCCACGTCCACGTCCATCTCCACGTCCATGTCCACGTCCACGTCCACGTCCACGTCCACGTCCACGTCCACGTCCACGTCCACGTCCACGTCCACGTCCACGTCCACGTCCACGTCCACGTCCACGTCCATGTCCACGTCCACGTCCATGTCCACGTCCACGTCCATGTCCACGTCCACGTCCATGTCCACGTCCACGTCCACGTCCACGTCCACGTCCAAGTCCACGTCCATGTCCACGTCCACGTCCACGTCCACGTCCACGTCCACGTCCACGTCCATGTCCACGTCCACGTCCATGTCCACGTCCACGTCCACGTCCATGTCCACGTCCACGTCCACGTCCATGTCCACGTCCACGTCCACGTCCACGTCCATGTCCACGTCCACGTCCACGTCCACGTCCACGTCCACGTCCACGTCCACGTCCATGTCCACGTCCATGTCCACGTCCACGTCCAAGTCCACGTCCATGTCCACGTCCACGTCTACGTCCACGTCCACGTCCACGTCCACGTCCATGTCCACGTCCACGTCCACGTCCACGTCCATGTCCACGTCCACGTCCATGTCCACGTCCACGTCCACGTCCATGTCCATGTCCACGTCCACGTCCACGTCCACGTCCACGTCCATGTCCACGTCCACGTCCATGTCCACGTCCACGTCCACGTCCACGTCCACGTCTACGTCCACGTCCACGTCCACGTCTACGTCCACGTCCACGTCCACGTCCACGTCCACGTCCACGTCCACGTCGACGTCCATGTCCACGTCCATGTCCACGTCCAGGTCCAAGTCCACGTCCATGTCCACGTCCATGTCCACGTCCATGTCCATGTCCAGGTCCAAGCCCACGTCCATGTCCACGTCCACGTCCACGTCCATGTCCACGTCCATGTCCACGTCCACGTCCACGTCCACGTCCACGTCCACGTCCACGTCCACGTCCACGTCCACGTCCACGTCCAGGTCCACGTCCACGTCCACGTCCATGTCCACGTCCACGTCCACGTCCACGTCTCGTCCACGTCCAAGTCCACGTCCACGTCCAAGTCCACGTCCATGTCCACGTCCATGTCCACGTCCACGTCCATGTCCACGTCCACGTCCATGTCCACGTCCACGTCCATGTCCACGTCCATGTCCACGTCCACGTCCATGTCCACGTCCACGTCCACGTCCACGTCCACGTCCATGTCCATGTCCACGTCCACGTCCACGTCCACGTCCACGTCCACGTCCACGTCCATGTCCACGTCCATGTCCATGTCCACGTCCACGTCCACGTCCATGTCCACGTCCATGTCCACGTCCATGTCCACGTCCACCGTCCATGTCCACGTCCATGTCCACGTCCACGTCCAAGTCCACGTCCATGTCCACGTCCACGTCTAAGTCCACGTCCACGTCCACGTCTACGTCCACAGTCCAATGTCCACGTCCACGTCCATGTCCATTTGTAACGTCCACGTCCATGTCCACGTCCACGTCCAGTGTCCACGTCCACGTCCACGTCCATGTGCACGTCTACGTCCACGTCCATTTCTACGTCCTTGTCCATGTCCACGTCCACCTCCACGTCCACGTCCACGTCCACGTCCATTTCCAGGTCCACGTCCACGTCCATATCCACGTCCACGTCCACGTCCACGTCCACGTCCATGTCCAGGGTCCACGTCCACGTCCACGTCCACGTCCACGTCTACGTCCACGTCCATGTCACGTCCATGTCCACGTCCACGTCCACGTCCATATCCACGTCCACGTCCACGTCCATGTCCACGTCCACGTCTCGTCCACGTCCATGTCCACGTTCCATGTCCACGTCCACGTCCACGTCCACGTCCATGTCCACGTCCGACGTCCATGTCCACTCCATGTCCACCTCCATGGTCCACGTCCATGTCCACGTCCACGTCCACAGTCATGTCCACTAGTCCACGTCCACGGTCCACGTCCACAGGTCCACGTCCATGTCCACGTCGTCCACCGTCTACGTCCATGTCCAGTCCATGTCCACGTCCACGTCCAAGTCCACGTCCATGTCCACGTCCACGTCTACGTCCACGTCCATGTCCACGTCCACGTCCATTTCTACGTCCACGTCCACGTCCACGTCCACGTCCACGTCCATGTCCACGTCCACGTCCATGTCCACGTCCACGTCCACGTCGACGTCCACCTCCACGTCCATGTCCACGTCCACGTCCATGTCCATGTCCACGTCCACGTCCACGTCCACGTCCACTTCCACGTCCACGTTTACGTCCACGTCCACGTCCACGTCTACGTCCACGTCCACGTCCACGTCCACGTCCACGTCTACGTCCACGTCCACGTCCACGTCCATGTCCACGTCCACGTCCACGTCCACGTCCAGGTCCACGTCCACGTCCACGTCCACGTCCATGTCTACGTCCACGTCCACGTCCACGTCCACGTCCACGTCCACGTCCACGTCCAGGTCTACGTCCACGTCCATGTCCACGTCCACGTCCACGTCCATCTCCACGTCCATGTCCACGTCCACGTCCACGTCCACGTGCTACCCACGTCCACGTCCACGTCCACGTGCACGTCACGTCCACGTCCACGTCACGTCCACGTCCACGTCAAGTCCATGTCCCGTCCCAGTCAGTCCACGTCACGTCCATGTCCACGTCCAAGTCCATGTCCACGTCCACGTCCACGTCCACGTCCAAGTCCACGTCCATGTCCACGTCCAACGTCCACGTTCACGTCCACGTCCACGTCCACGTCCATGTCCACGTCCACGTCCATGTCCACGTCCACGTCCACGTCCATGTCCACGTCCACGTCCACGTCCATGTCCACGTCCACGTCCAGGTCCACGTCCAGTCCACGTCCACTCCAGCGTCCACGTCCACGTCCACGTCCACGTCGACGTCCATGTCCACGTCCATGTTCCACGGTCCAGTCCAGGTCCACGTCCATGTCCACGTCCACGTCTACGTCCACGTCCACGTCCACGTCCACGTCCATGTCCACGTCCACGTCCACGTCCACCTCCATGTCCATGTCCACGTCCATGTCCACGTCCACGTCCACGTCCATGTCCATGTCCACGTCCACGTCCACGTCCACGTCCATTTCTACGTCCACGTCCACGTCCACGTCGTACGTCCACGTCCATGTCCACGTCCACGTCCACGTCCATTTCTACGTCCACGTCCACGTCCACGTCCATGTCCACGTCCATGTCCACAGTCCACGTCCACGTCCACGTCCATTTCTACGTCCACGTCCACGGTCCACGTCCATGTCCACGTCCATGTCCACGTTCATGTCCACGTCCACGTTCCACGTCCATGTCCACGTCCACGTCCATGTCCACGTCCACGTCCACGTCCATGTCCACGTCCACGTCCACGTCTACGTCCATGTCCACGTCCATGTCCACGTCCACGTCCAAGTCCACGTCATGTCCACGTCCACGTCTACGTCCACGTCCATGTCCACGTCCACGTCCACGTCCATTTCTACGTCACGTCCACGTCCACGTCCACGTCCACTGTCCAGCATGTCCACGTCCACGTCCATGTCCACGTCCACGTCCACGTCCACGTCCACCTCCACGTCCATAACTACGTCCACGTCCACGTCCATAACTACGTCCACGTCCACGTCCACGTCCATGTCCACGTCCACAGTCCACGTCCACGGTCCACGTCCATGTCCACGTCCACGTCCACGTCCCACGTCCACGTCCACGTCCATTTCTACGTCCACGTCCACGTCCATGTCCACGTCCACGTCCACGTCCATTTCTACGTCCACGTCCACGTCCACGTCCATGTCCACGTCCACGTCCACCTCCACGTCCATGTCCACGTCCACGTCCACGTCCATGTCCACGTCCACGTCCACGTCCACGTCCACGTCCATGTCCACCTCTACGTCCACGTCCACGTCCAGGTCCACGTCCACGTCCACGGTCCACGTCCATGTCTACGTCCACGTCCACGTCCACGTCCACGTCCACGTCCACGTCCACGTCCAGGTCCCCACGTCCACCGTCTGTCCACGTCCACGTCCACTCACGTCCAGGTCCACGTCCCGCCACGTCCACGTCCACGTCCACGTCCACGTCCATGTCCACGTCCACGTCCACGTCCATGTCCACGGTCCACGTCCATGTCCACGTCCACGTCCATGTCCACGTCCACGTCCACGTCCATGTCCACGTCCACGTCCACGTCCATGTCCACGTCCACGTCCACGTCTACGTCCACGTCCACGTCCATGTCCACGTCCACGTCCAAGTCCACGTCCATGTCCACGTCCATGTCCACGTCCACGTCCACGTCCACGTCCACGTCCACGTCCATGTCCACGTCCACGTCCATGTCCACGTCCACGTCCATGTCCACGTCCATGTCCACGTCCATGTCCACGTCCACGTCCATGTCCACGTCCACGTCCACGTCCACGTCCATGTCCACGTCCACGTCCACGTCCACGTCGACGTCCATGTCCACGTCCATGTCCACGTTTAGGTCCAAGTCCACGTCCATGTCCACGTCCACGTCTACGTCCACGTCCACGTCCACGTCCATGTCCATGTCCACGTCCACGTCCACGTCCACATCCACCTCCACGTCCATGTCCATGTCCATGTCCACGTCCACGTCCACGTCCATGTCCATGTCCACGTCCACGTCCACGTCCACGTCCATTTCTACGTCCACGTCCACGTCTACGTCCACGTCCATGTCCACGTCCACGTCCACGTCCATTTCTACGTCCACGTCCACGTCCATGTCCACGTCCATGTCCACGTCCACGTCCACGTCCACGTCCATTTCTACGTCCACGTCCACGTCCACGTCCATGTCCATGTCCACGTCCACGTCCACGTCCATGTCCACGTCCACGTCCACGTCCACGTCCACGTCTACGTCCACGTCCACGTCCACGTCTACGTCCACGTCCATGTCCACGTCCACGTCCACGTCCATTTCTACGTCCACGTCCATGTCCACGTCCACGTCCATGTCCACGTCCACGTCCACGTCCACGTCCATTTCTACGTCCACGTCTACGTCCACGTCCACGTCCATGTCCACGTCCACGTCCACGTCCACGTCCACCTCCATGTCCATGTCCACGTCCATGTCCACGTCCACGTCCACGTCCATGTCCATGTCCACAGTCCACGTCCCTGTCCACGTCCATTTCTACGTCCACGTCCACGTCCACGTCTACGTCCACATCCCGTCCATTTCTACGTCCACGTCCATTTCTACGTCCACGTCCACGTCCACGTCCATGTCCACGTCCATGTCCACGTCCACGGTCCACGTCCACGTCCATTTCTACGTCCACGTCCACGTCCACGTCCATGTCCACGTCCATGTCCACGTCCACGTCCACGTCCACGTCCACGTCCACGTCCACGTCCACGTCTACGTCCCGTCCATGTCTACGTCCACGTCCACGTCCATTTCTACGTCCATGTCCATGTCCACGTCCACGTCCATCTCGACGTCCACGTCCATGTCCACATCCACGTCCATGTCCACGTCCACGTCACGTCCATGTCCACGTCCACGTCCACGTCCACGTCCACGTCCATGTCCACGTCCACGTCCACGTCTATGTCCATGTCCACGTCCACGTCCCATGTCCACGTCCACGTCCAAGTCCACGTCCATGTCCACGTCCATGTCCACGTCCACGTCCACGGTCCACGTCCACGTCCATGTCCACGTCCATGTCCACGTCCACCTCCACGTCCACGTCCACGTCCACGTCCACGTCCAAGTCCACGTCCACGTCCACGTCCAGTCCATGTCCACGTCCATGTCCACGTCCATGTCCACGTCCACGTCTACGTCCACGTCCATGTCCACGTCCATGTCCACGTCCACGTCCACGTCCACGTCCATGTCCACGTCCACGTCCACGTCCAAGTCCACGTCCATGTCCACGGTGGACGTGGACGTGGACGTGGACGTGGACATGGACGTGGAGGACGTGGACGTGGTCATGGACGTGGACGTGGACAGGGACGTGGACGTGACGTGGATGTGGACATGGACGTGGACGTGGACGTGGAGGTGGACGTGGACGTGGACATAGACGTGGATGTGGACGTGGACGTGGACTTGGACGTGGACGTGGACATGAACGTGGACATGGACGTGGACGTGGACGTGGACGTAGACGTGGAGGTGGACGTGGAGGTGGAGGTGGACATGGACGTGGACATGGACGTCGACATGGACGTGGACGTGGACGTGGACGTGGACATGGACCGTGGACATGGACGTGGACGTGGACGTGGACGTGGACGTGGACGTAGAATGGACGTGGACGTGGACGTGGAGGTGGACGTGGACGTGGACGTGGACCTGGAGGTGGACGTGGACATGGACGTCGACATGGACGTCGACATGGACGTGGACATGGACGTGGACGTGGACGTGGACGTGGACGTGGACGTGGACATGGATGTGGACATGGACGTGGACGTGGACGTGGACGTGGACATGGACGTGGACGTGGACATGGACGTGGACAGGACGTGCACGTGGACATGGACCGTTGACGTGGACGTGGACGTGGACGTGGACCACGTGGACGTGGACGTGGACATGGACGTGGACGTGGACGTGGACGTGGACGTGGACGTGGACGTGCACATGGACGTGGAGGACGTGGACGTGGACATGGACGTGGACGTGGACAGGGATGTGGACGTGGAGGTGGACGTGGGACGTGGACGTGGAGGTGGACGTGGAGGTGGACGTGGACATGGACGTGGACATGGAGGTGGACGTGGACATGGACGTGGACGTGGACATGGACGTGGACGTTGGAGGTGGATGTGGACATGGACGTGGACGTGGATGTGGACGTGGACATGGACGTGGACGTGGACGTGGACATGGACGTGGACATGGACGTGGACGTGGACGTGGACATGGACATGGACGTGGACGTGGACGTGGACATGGACGTGGACGTGGACATGGACGTCGACATGGACGTGCACGTGGACAAGGACGTGGACGTGGACGTGGACGTGGACCACGTGGACGTGGACCACGTGGACGTGGACGTGGACCACGTGGACGTGGACGTGGACATGGACGTGGACATGGACGTGCACGTGGACGTGGACGTGGACATGGACGTGGACGTGGAGGTGCACGTGGACGTGGAGGTGCACGTGGACATGGACGTGGACGTGGACGTGGACGTGGATGTGGACGTGGACGTGGACATGGACGTGGATGTGGACATGGACGTGGACGTGGACATCGACGTGGACGTGGACGTGGACGTGGACGTGGACATGGACGTGGAGGACGTGGACGTGGACATGGACGTGGACGTGGACAGGGACGTGGACGTGGAGGTGGACGTGGAGATGGACGTGGACGTGGACATGGACGTGGACGTGGACGTGGACGTAGACGTGGAGGTGGACGTGGAGGTGGAGGTGGACATGGACGTGGACATGGACGTCGACATGGACGTGGACGTGGACGTGGACGTGGACATGGACGTGGACATGGACGTGGACGTGGACGTGGACGTAGAAATGGACGTGGACGTGGACGTGGAGGTGGACGTGGACGTGGACGTGGACGTGGAGGTGGACGTGGACATGGACGTCGACATGGACGTCGACATGGACGTGGACATGGACGTGGACGTGGACGTGGACGTGGACATGGACGTGGACATGGACGTGGACGTGGACGTGGACATGGACATGGACGTGGACGTGGACATGGACGTGGACATGGACGTGCACGTGGACATGACGTGGACGTGGACGTGGACGTGGACGTGGACCACGTGGACGTGGACGTGGACATGGACGTGGACGTGGACGTGGACGTGGACGTGGACGTGCAAATGGACGTGGAGGACGTGGACGTGGACATGGACGTGGACGTGGACAGGGACGTGGACGTGGAGGTGGACGTGGACGTGGACGTGGAGGTGGACGTGGAGGTGGACGTGGACATGGACGTGGACATGGAGGTGGACGTGGACATGGACGTGGACGTGGACATGGACGTGGACGTGGAGGTGGATGTGGACATGGACGTGGACGTGGACGTGGACGTGGACATGGACGTGGATGTGGACGTGGACATGGACGTGACATGGACGTGGACGTGGACGTGGACATGGACATGGACGTGGACGTGGACGTGGACATGGACGTGGACGTGGACATGGACGTCGACATGGACGTGCACGTGGACATGGACGTGGACGTGGACGTGGACGTGGACGTGGACCACGTGGACGTGGACCACGTGGACGTGGACGTGGACCACGTGGACGTGGACGTGGACATGGACGTGGACATGGACGTGCACGTGGACGTGGACGTGGACATGGACTGTGGACGTGGAGGTGCACGTGGACGTGGAGGTGCACGTGGACATGGACGTGGACGTGGACGTGGACCTGGACGTGGATGTGGACGTGGATGTGGACGTGGACGTGGACATGGACGTGGACGTGGACATGGACGTGGACGTGGATGGACGTGGACGTGCGTGGACAAGTGGACATGGACGTGGAGGACGTGGACGTGGACATGGACGTGGACGTGGACAGGGACGTGGACGTGGACGTGGAGGTGGACGTGGAGATGGACGTGGACATGGACGTGGACGTGGACGTGGACGTGGACGTGGACGTGGACATGGACGTGGACGTGGACCTGGACGTGGACGTGGACTTGGACGTGGACGTGGACGTGGACGTGGACGTAGACATGGACGTAGACATGGACGTGGACGTGGACGTGGACGTGGACGTGGACGTAGACATGACGTGGACATGGACGTGGACGTGGACAGGGACGTGGACGTGGACGTGGACATGGACGTGGACGTGGACGTGACGTGGACGTGGACATGGACGTGGACGTGGACATGGACGTGGACGTGGACGTGGACGTGGACGTGGACATGGACGTGGACGTGGACAGGGACGTGGACGTGGACATGGACGTGGACGTGGACATGGCGTGGACGTGGACGTGGACGTGGACGTGGACGTGGACGTGGAGGTGGACGTGGAGGTGGAGGTGGACATGGACGTGGACATGGACGTCGACATGGTACGTGGACGTGGACGTGGACGTGGACGTGGACATGGACGTGGACATGGACGTGGACGTGGACGTAGAGGTCGACGTGGAGGTGGACGTGGACGTGGACGTGGAGGTGGACGTGGAGGTGGACGTGGACATGGACGTCGACATGGACGTGGACATGGACGTGGACGTGGACGTGGACGTGGACGTGGACATGGACGTGGACGTGGACTTGGACGTGGACGTGGACGTGGACATGGACGTGGACGTGGACGTGGACATGGACGTGGACGTGGACGTGGACGTGGACGTGGACGTGGACATGGACGTGGACATGGACATGGACATGGACGTGGACATGGACGTGGACATGGACGTGGACATGGACGTCGACATGGGACGTGGACATGGACGTGGACGTGGACGTGGACGTGGACGTGGACGTGGACATGGACGTGGACTTGGACGTGGACGTGGACGTGGACGTGGACGTGGACATGGACGTGGACTTGGACGTGGACGTGGACGTGGACATGGACGTAGACATGGACGTAGACGTGGACGTGGACATGGACGTGGACGTGACGTGGACGTAGACGTGGAGGTGGAGGTGGAGGTGGACGTGGACATGGACGTCGACATGGACGTGGACGTGTGGACGTGGACGTGGACGTGGACGTGGACGTGGACGTGGACGTGGACGTGGACGTGGACGTGGACGTGGACGTGGACGTGGAGGTGGACGTGGACGTGGAGGTGGACGTGGACGTGGACGTGGACGTGGAGGTGGACGTGGAGGTGGACGTGGAGGTGGACGTGGAGGTGGACGTGGACGTGGACGTGGACGTGGAGGTGGACGTGGACGTGGACGTGGACGTGGACATGGACGTGGACTTGGACGTGGACGTGGACGTGGACGTGGACATGGACGTGGACATGGACGTGGACGTGGACGTGGACGTGGACGTGGAGGTGGACTTGGAGGTGGACGTGGAGGTGGACCTGGACGTGGAGGTGGACGTGGACGTGGAGGTGGAGATGGACGTGGAGGTGGACGTGGACGTGGAGGTGGACGTGGACGTGGAGGTGGACGTGGACGTGGAGGTGGACGTGGACGTGGACGTGGACGTAGACGTGGAGGTGGACGTGGACGTGGACGTGGACGTGGACGTGGACGTGGACATGGACGTGGACGTGGACGTGGACGTGGACGTGGACGTGGACGTGGACATGGACGTGGACATGGACGTGGACGTGGACGTGGACGTGGAGGTGGACGTGGACGTGGACGTGGACGTGGAGGTGGACGTGGACGTGGAGGTGGACGTGGACGTGGACGTGGAGGTGGACCTGGACGTGGAGGTGGACGTGGACGTGGAGGTGGAGATGGACGTGGAGGTGGAGATGGACGTGGAGGTGGACGTGGACGTGGAGTGGACGTGGACGTGGAGGTGGACGTGGAGGTGGACGTGGACGTGGAGGTGGACGTGGACGTGGACGTGGAGGTGGACGTGGACGTGGAGGTGGACGTGGACGTGGACGTGGACGTGGACGTGGACATGGGACGTGGACGTGGACGTGGACATGGACGTGGGACGTGGACCATGGACGTGGACATGGACATGGACATGGACGTGGACATCGACGTGGACATGGACGTGGACATGGACGTCGACATGGACGTGGACATGGACGTGGACGTGGACGTGGACGTTGACGTGGACGTGGACGTGGACGTGGACATGGACGTGGACTTGGACGTGGACGTGGACATGGACGAAGACATGGACGTGGCCGTGGACGTGGACTTGGACGTGGACGTGGAACGTGGACGTGGACATGGACGTGGACATGGATGTGGCCTTGGACGTGGACGTGGACGTGGACGTGACAATGGACGTAGACATGGACGTGGACGTGGACGTGGACATGGACCGTGGACGTGGACGTGGACGTGGACGTGGACGTGGACGTAGACGTGGAGGTGGAGGTGGAGGTGGACGTGGACATGGACGTCGACATGGACGTGGACGTGTGGACGTGGACGTGGACGTGGTTGTGGACGTGGACGTGGACGTGGACGTGGACGTGGACGTGGACGTGGACGTGGACGTGGAGGTGGACGTGGAGGTGGACGTGGACGTGGACGTGGACGTGGACGTGGAGGTGGACGTGGAGGTGGACGTAGACGTGGACGTGGACGTGGAGGTGGACGTGGAGGTGGACGTGGAGGTGGACGTGGACATGGACGTGGGCGTGGACGTGGACATGGACGTGGACGTGGACGTGGACGTGGACGTGGACGTGGACGTGGACGTGGACATGGACGTGGACTTGGACGTGGACGTGGACATGGACGAAGACATGGACGTGGCCGTGGACGTGGACTTGGACGTGGACGTGGACGTGGACGTGGACATGGACGTGGACATGGACGTGGCCTTGGACGTGGACGTGGACGTGGACGTGGACATGGACGTAGACATGGACGTGGACGTGGACGTGGACATGGACGTGGACGTGGACGTGGACGTGGACGTAGACGTGGAGGTGGAGGTGGAGGTGGACGTGGACATGGACGTCGACATGGACGTGGACGTGTGGACGTGGACGTGGACGTGGACGTGGACGTGGACGTGGACGTGGACGTGGACGTGGACGTGGACGTGGACATGGACGTGGACGTGGACGTGGACGTGGACGTGGAGGTGGACGTGGACGTGGACGTGGACGTGGACGTGGACGTGGACGTGGAGGTGGACGTGGAGGTGGACGTGGACGTGGAGGTGGACGTGGAGGTGGACGTGGAGGTGGACGTGGAGGTGGACGTAGACGTGGAGGTGGACGTGGAGGTGGACGTGGAGGTGGACGTAGACATGGAGGTGGACGTGGAGGTGGACGTGGGCGTGGACGTGGGCGTGGACGTGGACATGGACGTCGACATGGACGTGGACGTGTGGACGTGGACGTGGACGTGGACGTGGACGTGGACGTGGACGTGGACGTGGACGTGGACGTGGACGTGGACGTGGACTTGGACGTGGACGTGGACGTGGACGTGGAGGTGGACGTGGACGTGGACGTGGACGTGGAGGTGGACGTGGAGGTGGACGTGGGCGTGGACGTGGGCGTGGACGTGGACATGGACGTCGACATGGACGTGGACGTGTGGACGTGGACGTGGACGTGGACGTGGACGTGGACGTGGACTTGGACGTGGACGTGGACGTGGACGTGGATGTGGACGTGGACATGGACGTGGACGTGGACGTGGACGTGGACGTGGACGTGGAGGTGGACGTGGACGTGGAGGTGAACGTGGAGGTGGAGGTGGAGGTGGAGGTGGACGTGGAGGTGGACGTGGAGGTGGACGTGGACGTGGAGGTGGACGTGGACGTGGAGGTGGAGATGGACGTGGAGGTGGACGTGGACGTGGAGGTGGACGTGGACGTGGAGGTGGACGTGGACGTGGAGGTGGACGTGGACGTGGACGTGGAGGTGGACGTGGAGGTGGACGTGGAGGTGGACGTGGACGTGGACGTGGACGTGGACGTGGACGTGGAGGTGGACGTGGAGGTGGACGTGGAGGTGGACGTGGAGGTGGACGTGGAGGTGGACGTGGAGGTGGACGTGGAGGTGGACGTGGACGTGGACGTGGACGTGGACGTGGAGGTGGACGTGGACGTGGACGTGGACGTGGACGTGGAGGTGGACGTGGACGTGGACGAGGACGTGGACGTGGACGAGGACGTGGACGTGGACTTGGACGTGGACGTGGACGTGGACGTGGACATGGACGTGGACGTGGACGTGGACGTGGACGTGGACGTGGACATGGACGTGGACGTGGACGTGGACATGGACGTGGACGTGGACATGTACGTGAACATGGACGTGGACGTGGACGTGGACGTGGACGTAGACGTGGACGTGGACATGGGACGTGGACGTGGACGTGGACGTGGACGACGTGGACATGGATGTGGACGTGGACGTGGACGTGGACGTGGACGTGGACGTGGACGTGGACGTGGACGTGGACGTAGACGTGGACGTGGACATGGACGTGGACGTGGACGTGGACGTGGACGTGCACGTGGACATGGACGTAGACGTGGACGTGGACGTGGACGTGGACATGGACGTGGACGTGGACGTGGACGTGGACGTGGACTGACGTGGACATGGACGTGGACGTGGACGTGGACGTGGACTGACGTGGACATGGACGTGGACGTGGACGTGGACGTGGACGTGGACGTGGACGTGGACGTGGACATGGACGTAGACGTGGACGTGGACGTGGACGTGGACGTGGACGTGGACTGACGTGGACATGGACGTGGACGTGGACGTGGACGTGGACGTGGACGTGGACGTGGACGTGGACGTGGACGTGGACCTGGACGTGGAGGTGGACGTGGACGTGGAGGTGGACGTGGACGTGGACGTGGACGTGGACGTGGACGTGGAGGTGGACGTGGAGGTGGACGTGGACGTGGAGGTGGACGTGGACGTGGACGTGGACGTGGAGGTGGACGTGGAGGTGGACGTGGACGTGGAGGTGGACGTGGAGGTGGACGTGGACGTGGACGTGGACGTGGACGTGGACGTGGACGTGGACGTGGACGTGGACGTGGAGGTGGACGTGGACGTGGACCTGGACGTGGAGGTGGACGTGGGACGTGGAGGTGGACGTGGACGTGGAGGTGGAGATGGACGTGGAGGTGGAGGTGGACGTGGAGGTGGACGTGGACGTGGACGTGGACGTGGAGGTGGACGTGGACGTGGACGTGGACGTGGAGGTGGACGTGGACGTGGACGTGGACGTGGACGTGGACGTGGACGTGGACGTGGACGTGGAGGTGGACGTGGAGGTGGACGTGGACGTGGACGTGGACGTGGACGTGGACGTGGACGTGGACCTGGACGTGGACGTGGCTGGAGGTGGACGTGGAGGTGGACGTGGACGTGGAGATGGACGTGGACGTGGAGGTGGACGTGGAGGTGGACGTGGACGTGGACGTGGACGTGGAGGTGGACGTGGACGTGGACGTGGACGTGGACGTGGACGTGGAGGTGGACGTGGAGGTGGACGTGGACGTGGACGTGGACGTGGACGTGGAGGTGGACGTGGAGGTGGACGTGGAGGTGGACGTGGACGTGGAGGTGGACGTGGACGTGGACGTGGAGGTGGAGGTGGACGTGGAGGTGGACGTGGACGAGGACGTGGACGTGGACTTGGACGTGGACGTGGACGTGGACGTGGACATGGACGTGGACGTGGACATGGACGTGGACGTGGACGTGGACATGGACGTGGACATGGACGTGGACGTGGACATGGACGTGGACGTGGACATGGACGTGGACGTGGACGTGGACATGGACGTGGACGATGTGGACATGGATGTGGACGAGGACTGACGTGGACATGGACGTGGACGTGGACGTGGACGTGGACGTGGACATGGACGTGGACATGGACGTAGACGTGGACGTGGACATGGACGTGGACGTGGACGTGGACGTGGACATGGACGTGGACTGACGTGGACATGGACGTGGACATGGACGTGGATGTGGACGTGGACGTAGAGGTGGACGTGGACGTGGACGTGGACGTGGACGTGGACGACGTGGACATGGACGTGGACGTGGACTGACGTGGACATGGACGTGGACGTGGACGTGGACGTGGACTTGGACGTGGACGTGGACGTGGACGTGGACGTGGACATGGACATGGACGTGGACGTGGACGTGGACATGGACGTGGACGTGGACGTGGACGTGGACGTGGACGTGGACATGGACGTGGACATGGACGTGGACATGGACGTGGACGTGGACGTGGACGTGGACGTGGACGTGGACATGGACGTGGACGTGGACGTGGACATGGACGTGGACGTGGACATGTACGTGAACATGGACGTGGACATGGACGTGGACGTGGACGTGGACGTGGACGTGGACGTGGACGTGGACATGGACATGGACGTGGACGTGGACATGGACGTGGACGTGGACGTGGACTTGGACGTGGACATGGACGTGGACGTGGACGTGGACATGGACGTGGACATGGTCGCATGCTTGAGTCCGGTCGCATGCTTGTGTTCGGTCACATTCTTTTGTCCGGACGCATGCTTGTGTCTGGGCGCATGCTTGTGTCCAGACGCATGCTTGTGTCCGGACGCATGCTTGTGTCCGGACGCATGCTTGTGTCCGGATGCATGCTTGTGTCTGGACGCATGCTTGTGTCCGGACGCATGCTTGTGTACGGACGCATGCTTGTGTCCGGACGCATGCTTGTGTCCGGACGCATGCTTGTGTCCGGACGCATACTTGTGTCCGGACGCATGCTTGTGTCCGAACGCATGCTTGTGTCCGGTCGCATGCTTGTGTCCGACCGCATGCTTGAGTCAGGTCGCATGCTTGTGTCCGGACGCATGCTTGTGTCCGGACGCATGCTTGTGTCCAGACGCATGCTTGTGTCCGGACGCATTCTTGTGTCCGGTCGCATGCTTGTGTCCGGATGCATGCTTGAGTCCGGACGCATGCTTGTGTCCGGACGCATGCTTGAGTCCGGTCGCATGCTTGTGTCCAGACGCATGCTTGTGTCCGACGCATGCTTGTTTTTGGACGCATGCTTGTGCCCGGTCGCATGCTTGTGTCCGGATGCATGCTTGTGTCCGGATCGCATGCTTGTGTCCGAACGCATGCTTGTGTCTGGACGCATGCTGTGTCCGGACGCATGCTTGTGTCCGGACGCATGCTTTTGTTCGTACGCATGCTTGTGTCCGGACGCATGCTTGTGTCCGGACGCATGCTTGTGTCCGGACGCATGCTTGGGTCCGGACGCATGCTTGTGTCCGGACGCATGCTTGTGTCCGGACGCATGCTTGTGTCCGGACGCATGCTTGTGTCCGGACGCATGCTTGTGTCCGGACGCATGCTTGGGTCCGGACGCATGCTTGTGTCCGGACGCATGCTTGGGTCCGGACGCATGCTTGTGTCCGGTCGCATGCTTGTGTCCGGACGCATGCTTGTGTCCGGACGCATGCTTGTGTCCGGATGCATGCTTGTGTCCGGACGCATGCTTCTGTCCGGACGCATGCTTGTGTCCGGACGCATGCTTGGGTCCGGACGCATGCTTGTGTCCGGACGCATGCTTGTGTCCGGACGCATGCTTGGGTCCCGACGCATGCTTGGGTCCCGGACGCATGCTTGTGTCCGGACGCATGCTTGTGTCCGAACGCATGCTTGTGTCCGGACGCATGCTTGTGTCCGGACGCATGCTTGAGTCCGGTCGCATGCTTGTGTCCGGACGCATGCTTGTGTCCGGACGCATGCTTGTGTACGGACGCATGCTTGTGTCCGGACGCATGCTTGTGTCCGGACGCATGCTTGAGTCCGGTCGCATGCTTGTGTCCGGACGCATGCTTGAGTCCGGACGCATGCTTGTGTCCGGAAGCATGCTTGAGTCCCGGTCGCATGCTTGTGTCCCGGACGCATGCTTGTGTCCGGACGCATGCTTGTGTCCGGACGCATGCTTGAGTACGGTCGCATGCTCGTGTCCGGACGCATGCTTGTGTCCGGACGCATGCTTGTGTCCGGACGCATGCTTGTGTCCGGACGCAATGCTTGTGTCCGGAACGCATGCTTGTGTGTCCGGACGCATGCTTGTGTCCGAACGCATGCTTGTGTCCGGTCGCATGCTTGTGTCCGACCGCATGCTTGAGTCCGGTCGCATGCTTGTGTCCGGACGCATGCTTGTGTCCGGACGCATGCTTGTGTCCAGACGCATGCTTGTGTCCGGACGCATTCTTGTGTCCGGTCGCATGCTTGTGTCCGGATGCATGCTTGAGTCCGGACGCATGCTTGTGTCCGGACGCATGCTTGTGTCCGAAACGCATGCTTGTGTCCGGTCGCATGCTTGTGTCCGACCGCATGCTTGAGTCCGGTCGCATGCTTGTGTCCGGACGCATGCTTGTGTCCGGACGCATGCTTGTGTCCAGACGCATGCTTGTGTCCGGACGCATTCTTGTGTCCAGTCGCATGCTTGTGTCCGGATGCATGCTTGAGTCCGGACGCATGCTTGTGTCCGGACGCATGCTTGAGTCCGGTCGCATGCTTGTGTCCAGACGCATGCTTGTGTCCGGACGCATGCTTGTGTTTGGACGCATGCTTGTGCCCGGTCGCATGCTTGTGTCCGGACGCATGCTTGTGTCCGGTCGCATGCTTGTGTCCAGACGCATGCTTGTGTCCGGACGCATGCTTGTGGCCGGACGCATGCTTGTGTCCGGACGCATGCTTTTGTTCGGACGCATGCTTGTGTCCGGACGCATGCTTGTGTTCGTATGCATGCTTGTGTCCGGACGCATGCTTGGGTCCGGACGCATGCTTGTGTCCGGACGCATGCTTGTGTCCGGACGCATTCTTGTGTCCGGACGCATGCTTGGGTCCGGACGCATGCTTGTGTCCGGACGCATGCTTGTGTCCGGACGCATGCTTGTGTCCGGATGCATGCTTGTGTCTGGACGCATGCTTTTGTCCGGACGCATGCTTGTGTCCGGACGCATGCTTCTGTCCGGACGCATGCTTGTGTCCGGACGCATGCTTGGGTCCGGACGCATGCTTGTGTCCGGACGCATGCTTGTGTCCGGACGCATGCTTGGGTCCCGACGCATGCTTGGGTCCGGACGCATGCTTGTGTCCGGACGCATGCTTGTGTCCGAACGCATGCTTGTGTCCGGACGCATGCTTGTGTCCGGACGCATGCTTGAGTCCGGTCGCATGCTTGTGTCCGGACGCATGCTTGTGTCCGGACGCATGCTTGTGTACGGACGCATGCTTGTGTCCGGACGCATGCTTGTGTCCGGACGCATGCTTGAGTCCGGTCGCATGCTTGTGTCCGGACGCATGCTTGAGTCCGGACGCATGCTTGTGTCCGGAAGCATGCTTGAGTCCGGTCGCATGCTTGTGTCCGGACGCATGCTTGTGTCCGGACGCATGCTTGTGTCCGGACGCATGCTTGAGTACGGTCGCATGCTCGTGTCCGGACGCATGCTTGTGTCCGGACGCATGCTTGTGTCCGGACGCATGCTTGTGTCCGGACGCATGCTTGTGTCCGGACGCATGCTTGTGTCCGGACGCATGCTTGTGTCCGAACGCATGCTTGTGTCCGGTCGCATGCTTGTGTCCGACCGCATGCTTGAGTCCGGTCGCATGCTTGTGTCCGGACGCATGCTTGTGTCCGGACGCATGCTTGTGTCCAGACGCATGCTTGTGTCCGGACGCATTCTTGTGTCCGGTCGCATGCTTGTGTCCGGATGCATGCTTGAGTCCGGACGCATGCTTGTGTCCGGACGCATGCTTGTGTCCGAACGCATGCTTGTGTCCGGTCGCATGCTTGTGTCCGACCGCATGCTTGAGTCCGGTCGCATGCTTGTGTCCGGACGCATGCTTGTGTCCGGACGCATGCTTGTGTCCAGACGCATGCTTGTGTCCGGACGCATTCTTGTGTCCGGTCGCATGCTTGTGTCCGGATGCATGCTTGAGTCCGGACGCATGCTTGTGTCCGGACGCATGCTTGAGTACGGTCGCATGCTTGTGTCCAGACGCATGCTTGTGTCCGGACGCATGCTTGTGTTTGGACGCATGCTTGTGCCCGGTCGCATGCTTGTGTCCGGACGCATGCTTGTGTCCGGTCGCATGCTTGTGTCCGGACGCATGCTTGTGTCCGGACGCATGCTTGTGGCCGGACGCATGCTTGTGTCCGGACGCATGCTTTTGTTCGGACGCATGCTTGTGTCCGGACGCATGCTTGTGTCCGGACGCATGCTTGTGTCCGGACGCATGCTTGGGTCCGGACGCATGCTTGTGTCCGGACGCATGCTTGTGTCCGGACGCATTCTTGTGTCCGGACGCATGCTTGGGTCTGGACGCATGCATGTGTCCGGACGCATGCATGTGTCCGGACGCATGCTTGTGTCCGGACGCATGCTTGAGTCCGGACGCATGCTTGTGTCCGGACGCATGCTTGAGTCCGGACGCATGCTTGTGTCCGGACGCATGCTTGTGTCCGGACGCATGCTTGTGTCCGGACGCATGCTTGTGTCCGGACACATGCTTGTGTCCGGACGCATGCTTGTGTCCGGATGCATGCTTGTGTCCGGACGCATGCTTGTGTCCGGACGCATGCTTGTGTCCGGACGCATGCTTGTGTCCGGACGCATGCTTGTGTCCGGACGCATGCTTGTGTCCGGACGCATGCTTGGGTCCGGACGCATGCTTGTGTCCGGACGCATGCTTGTGTCCGGACGCATGCTTGTGTCCGGTCGCATGCTTGTGTCCGGACGCATGCTTGTGTCCGGACGCATGCTTGTGTCCGGACGCATGCTTGTGTCCGGACGCATGCT